CAGTTGAGCTTCACAGATATTTGCTGCAACAGCCCTGTGTGGCCACTAGGGATGGAGAGGAGAGGGATGAGGAGCCCTGGGAACCCACCATGTAATAGAAAGAGGAAGCTCTGATTTATTCCTTCCTAAGTACTTTTGGTGTGTGTTTGTGTGTGTGTGCGCGCACGCACGCACATGCGCATGCACATGCACACACATACATGCCTGCTCACATGCTGATACACGCCTTGTGCTCTCACTTGGCTTTTTTCATTTTTATTTTTTGTCAGTTGTGGGGCTTGAACTCTGGGCCTGGGCGCTGTCCCTCAGCTCTTCAGCACAAGGTGAGAGCTCTACACTTGAGCCACAGCACCACTTCCCATTTTCTAAGTGGTTTATTGGAGGTAAGAGTCTCATGGAGTTTCCTGCACAGGCTGGCTTTGAACCGTGATCCTCAGATCTCAGCCTTCTGAGTAGCTAGGATTACAGGTGTGAGCCACCAACATGTGGCTTCTCACTTGGCTTTTTTACTCATGTTTGGTGCTCTGCCACTTGAGCCACCCCTCCTGGTTAACTAGAGATAGAGTCTCTCAGATTTTTCTGCCTAGACTAGCTTTAACTGTGATCCTTAGACTTCAGCCTCTTGAATGGCTAGCATTACAGGCATTAACCATCAATGCCCAGCCCTAAGTTCATTGTTGTCCAGTTTAATTATTACTATTAAAATAAGGATGTAGCACATCCTTAATACACATACACTGCTTTTGGGATGTTTTCAGGCCTCCATTTACCTACTTGTTTGTTTTATGGTACTGGGGATTGAGCTCGGGGCCTAGAGCTGCTCTACCCTTGAGCCTTGCCACCATCACTTCATGAGAGAAATGGGTGAGTATTAATGGTTTTTCTGTACAATAGTCAGTACTACCTTTGCCTAGGCTGGTCTGAAACTTGTGATTCTCATCCTGCCTCCTTGAGTAGCTAGAATTACAAGTATGCACCACAGTGTCGAGCCTAAGGTCTGCTTTCTTTTTTAAAATAGATATAACAAGTTTATTTTAAAGTGGAAGGAAAGTAGGGAGACTTTCCATTTGGAAGAGGCCCCAAAGAGGAATCCAGTGAATTCCTCTCAGAGGGTCATTTTTATAGTATGAGGTTCCTCTCATACATCTTCCCTTGGGCTTTGCACTGATTGCTTGATGGCTTGTGCATGGACTGCCCTGGCTATTTTCATTGGTTGAGCAGAAACCCAGGGCATTATGGGAAGAAGCATTTCAGCAGGAGTTTGAGGCACCATGGGAACTAGAAGCGTCATGATGGGCCATGTGCTATCTGCCATATGTTATGTCTGCCAATTTTTATCCATATCTACCTAGCAGTTACCCTCTTTCCCTCATTCCCCCCTCCTGGATGGAAACTCTAATTGCCATTAAGGAACAAGGGTAATGACCAATCCAGGTTACTTTCTGTTGAGAGGGGGCAGAGAAGGGGATGACAGTCTGGGATCTTCAGAGGAGGGTCTTTTAGGCAGATGGGACATAGTAAAACTCTAGGGAACAGTTTGTATAAGGCTTCTTTTTAAAAAATCTATGGCCATAGCTGGGAAGTTGGCTCAGTGGTAGAGTGTTTGCCTTGCATTTATGAGGCCCTGAGTTCGATTCCTCAGCACCACATAAGCAGGAAAAAGCTGGAAGTGGTGCTGTGGCTCAAGTGGTAGGGTGCTACCCTTGAGCTGGAAGAGCTCAGGGACAGCGCCCAGGCCCAGAGTTCAGCCCCCACAACCGACCCCCCCCAAAAAAAATTATGGCCAAATGTAGCTTGATAGATTCCAAACTAGCCACAAATACATGGGTAAGGCCCCAATCTTAAGAAGATATGGGCTAATCCCCTGTGAGGGGAACAGAGCCCAGGGGGGTACTTCAGGTGGTGGTAAGCACATAGTTGGGCATTGGAGCCCCCAGAGAAAGGGCAAGCTGGGAGTCAGGACAGGAGTCTGTTGATTAGTCAGGGAACTGGCAGCCAGCTCAGCCTGAAGAGGTTCAGAGAGCCCAAGCTGGCTCTGATGACAGCTACCTAAAACATACCAACTCAAGTTCCTTCTTCTCCCTGATCTGTGCTGAGGTTACTCTGTTGGAAGGACAGCTGTGCCTTCCAAGGAACCAGCCACAGCCCAAAATGGGCACAGTAGTCCCAAAGGTGGAGGCCTGAGGTCTATGTTGTCCGTTTTGTGCTTCACAAACTGGCCATCCATGATGAACATGCCCAGCCAATGCCTCAGCCCCCAGATCTGGAGGTGACTACTTTTGTTTCCCTCAACGTCTCTGAGCACTTGACAGTGTGCAGGGAAAAGGATGGGTGGTATGGCGTCCTAAGTGGAGAAGGTTGAGGCAAGGGCCCAGTATCCATATTTGGCTTCTTGCCTAGTGCTGCCCTCTAGTACTCTTCCAGCCACCCTTGCCTCCCCAGGCCCTTCAGCTGAGTTAGAATAAAGGAGTAGAACAGCTCCATGACATCTTTCCATCCATTGTCTCAGGCTCCAGAGGGACAGAGGAAAGTCATTTCTTGTTCCTGGACTTCTAGTACATTTTCATGGAAGCCTGACATCTATGGTCATCTTCCCACCTTTCGTACCTCCATGTATTCCTCCATCTGCATTTATGGTAGAAGGTAAGAAGATATAGAGAAAACAGAGCTGGTTTGAGGGTCACCCTGAAGAGGAACAAAAGAGCCTGGGGTTTGGGCCTTCATTGATGACTTGTTAAAAAAAAATTAAAAAGGACCCAGTGGATCATAGGACAGATAGAGGTTAGTTTGAGAGTTTCATTATCAAAGGGCCCCACTAGGAAGTAACCTAAAAGGGATAAGGCTTTTGTTCCCTAGAGAGACATTTAGGGGTGAAGGGTTCGGGGCTATGAGCCTCATCTTTCATTGCCCCACCCTCTCTACTTTCACCTGTCATGGAGGTGAAAATCCCAGCATCTGGGCCCAGGCTTCCCTTTTCCCTCTTTTCCTTCCTGGCTCCTCTGCTCCAAGCTTTGGGGTTCAAAAGCTTCTGCAAAAGATGAGGCCCTCCTGTTGAGGAACTGCAGTGTTTCCTGATTTGGTCTTGCCTTCCAGGTCACCACTCTCCTGCATCTGTGGGGTACCTAACAGATCCAAGGGCCCTGCTCTACCCTCAGCATGTCCAGCCACAGGGAGCATGGGTATCATGCTCTGGGATCGTCTTTGTGGGGGCTAGAGGGGATACCTGGGGCATGGTGTCCCCTGTAGGTTAGGATTGGAACTGTGCACCTGTGTAGTAGAACCCTGCTTTCTGGATACCTGATTTACTTGGGACACAGCCTGTGCCATCCAGAGCAACCCCCTTCCTTCCATTTCTTGAAGTTTTCAGAATTTAAAAAAAGGGGGGGAGGGGGAGAGAGAAGGGAAAGAAAACAGGGCTACTGAATTGTTTTAAATGTTTACTTTGAACAGAGTAATACATTTTACACCCCCACAGCAGTGTGACTGTGCTATTCACAAGATAACAGAAATTAAGATGAAAACAGAAACAGAAACAAAACAAAAGAGCACAGAGCACTGAAGGCTAGAAATGGAGCACAGGTTTAAAATTATTTAATGAACATGTCACTGTTGAGCCTACCTGTTTTCCTAGGGAATATATTAGTCTCATTGGTGAGAAGGCCCAATGTGACACCTATGGAGACCCTTGGTGACTGTAACCAGGGCTAGGCCTGCCTGCAGGGTCCCATATCTGGCTCTTTGGAATCTTGGATGGTTCAGGTCTCTTTCTCTTGAAGTGACCTACAGTAGAATGTCAGGCCCAGCTGGGGAGAACAGGTGCCTACCCAGAGACTATGGTGCTAGATGCCATGGGTATGGTCACCACTGTGGGCCAGTTGGCTGCCATCTGCACACTGCCCCCTGCTGGTCAGCACAGATGTTGGTCTTGAAGAATAGTCTAAGTACAGAGGTTGATGGGGAGATCGTGACACTTCAAGACTCCTTGAGGTCAAATTATTTTTCTTCCAGGCCCAGTGGCTGAAGCCTGGATCCCAGCCACTCCAGAGGTTGAGATCTGGTGGATCATAGTTGTAGGACGGCCCAGGCAGAAAAGACAGAGACTGTGCTTCCAAACTAACCACTAGAAAGCTGAACTAGAGACATAGCTCAAGTAGTAGAGAGCCAGCTGTGGGCAAGAAAGCAGAGCAAGAATTCAAGGCCCTGAGTTCAAGTACTGCACTCTCTCTCTCTCTCTCTCTCTCTCTCTCTGTATATGTGTGATTTTTTTTACCATCATTCTAAGCCTCTTGGCCTCCTTCTCTCACAATGTACAGAAATGGAAAGTTCATGGATAAAGTTTCAGAGGCCACATGAGAACTAGTCTTTTAGAAACTACCATGTATTGAATTGTGATGCAATATCCAAGAACAATACATGTTGCCTGGCAAAGCTACTAAGATGCCCCTTCTCTCTGCAGCTGTCTTACATGTCTGTGGGAGTCCCCACATCCCCCATGTAGTCTGAAAAGCACATATCACCAAAGCACCATAGGAACATATAGGAACATCTGGCTGTCTTTTTATTAACTAGGTGATAAGGCTGTGTCTACCACTAGCCTCCCTGTCCTTGTCCCTGCTCCAGAGAGCACTTGGGTCTTTGGTTTGGAGCTCTTAGGGAGCAAAGTATGGATGGCACTAGGAAAGGGCAGGGGTCCAGTGCCCATCAGGGCTTGCCAGCTTAGTTGACACTTCCCAAGAACAAGCAATCTTCTCTCTGTGTTGATTCTCACCTTCTATATCCTGCCAGTCACGGTCACTGGAGACACAGCCACATCACCCACCTAGTTGCTTCTCACAGAAGCAAAAGCTTGGACAGGAGCCATGTTTTGCTGGAATCCAGGTGTCAGTCAGGGACATACAGGGTTGGAAGTGCCAAATGTCTGGTGCCTGCATTCAGTGAGAACTTGTCTGCCATTAGCACCACAGCCAGTGACACTTTGTCCTTTCTTTTCTTCTTCTCAGATGTGACTGGTGCCCCGGCTGCTGCTCCAAGCCATGGCTGACACCATCTTCGGCAGTGGCAGTGACCAGTGGGTTTGTCCCAATGACCGGCAACTAGCCCTGCGAGCCAAGTGAGTGCCTCCTCACTCCCTCACATCCCTCCCTCCTTCCTGCCTTACCCCTATCCTTCCTAGGGGGTAGAGCTGCCTGTCCTCTGGGCTTTGAGCTGGGCACTTAGTTCATTTATGCACTGAGTAGGATTTATCTCCATTTCTCAGATGAGGGAAGTGAGACTAACTTCCTTGGCCTTGTCCCTTAACTGTGAATCACCTCACTGGGACCCACTCCTGAGCCTAGGTGATTCTTATGCCTTCAGTTTGTCCCAGCAAGCTGCAAGGGCTGGACTACTTCACCTGCCCCTTGTTCTGTCATTGAGTCTAAAGTTCCAAAGCCCCTTAAGGCAGGGAGCCTTTGATGTGTGGACACTACCTTCAGGGCTCAGAGCAATAGCCTATGTCAGGAATGAAGAGCTTCCCCTCGCTGACATTTTCCAGGTCTTTCTCTTACTCCCAACAAGTTTCTCTGGTCCCTATTGGGATCCCAATCTTCCTGTTAACCCTCAGCCTGGTGACCCTCAGCTCCTGTTAGATCTGATGCCTCCCCTACTACTTCCTGTGCCCATAGGAGAGAGGGTAGCACTCAGATGCCTCTCTTCCTTTTAGCACCTCCCCAGGCCTCCGAGGACTGGGGGGTGGGGTCCCTTGTGTCTGATAAATTCCTATGTCTATCAAACTGTGCCAATTACGAGAGCCAGCATTTCCCAACGGGGACCAAGTTTTAAGAAATTTGCAATTAGATATTATGAGCCTGCAGGGGGACAGCTCTGAACATCAAAGGGGGTGGAAAAATTAATCTGAAACGCCTGGGAAGAGAGGCTTCATGCGTGATTTGCAGGCTGCTTTGCCCCACAGTTGCTTTGTCCCCTTTGCCCGGGTAGCTCAGTCCCCTCCAGCCTCCCCCACTCTTCCAGGAACGGTACCCAGGATAAGGTCAGCTCATCTTCCTCGTCCGTGATGCCAGGCAGATGCCATGCCCTACCCAGCACAAGGCACTGGGAGAACTCAGAAGCTTGCCCCAGGCCCAAGGGATTCTCACTGACCCCTCCAGCATCCCCTTAGTTCTCTCTGACCTTGGCTCTCACCATGGAGACCTGGAGGAGCACCCTCCAGAAGAGGGGATGTTCTTATATCCTCCCCCTGGGTGTGCTGCCTGTAGTCTTTTGTGAAGAGTAGTGCCTCGTCCAGGGCTGCAGGGCAGGAGTGTACCCCTCAGGATCCCCCAGGACCTGGGTATTCTCTGCCCCTCTCCATTGCAGGGCCTCCTGCCAGTCTTGGCAGCTGCCTCCAGTTTCTTTTTTCTCTTTCCTTCTCTTCCCTTTATCTCTTCTACTTCCTTTCTTTTCATTCCTTCCCTTCTTTTCCCTCTCCTCCTTTTCTTCCTTTTCTTTTTTTTTCAATATAGGGTCTCACTTTGTAGCCCATGCTAGCCTTGAAGTTTCAATCTCTTAGAATAACAAGCAGGTTCCTAAGTCTACACAATTTCTAAATTCTACCATGTGCCAGGCACTGGTTGCATAGCAGCAAACAAGACCAGCATGGTTCTTTGCCTTAAAGCAGAAATATGGAAGGATTTATGGATATTACACGTATACTTACTATAGTGGCTGCCATGATACTTGGCAGTAGTGGGGGAGGGGAGACTAACTTAATTTGGGGTTAGGGAGACTTTCCTTTGAATGTGATGCTTAGGTCAAATGGGAATACAGAGCAAGTTTTAGGGAGCAAAAACAAGTACAAAGGCCCTGAGGTAGAAAGAGCATGATACGTGCAGGCCTTGACAGGAGGCCAGTGTGACTCTAGTGAAGAGTGAGCAGCATAAAGGGGAGATGGAGAGGTCAGCCAGGACCAGATGGGGCAGGAACAGGGAGTTTCTGACCCTCCAGAAACTCCCTTTCTGGAAGGGGGACAGCTGGTTGCTCATTGTCTTACAGTAAAGCTGAAACTCAGTGATGGACATATTCCCAGGCCTTCTAAGAATTCTTGTTATGGTTCTTCATTAAGGCCTCTGGTCCCATACCACCTGGGTTGTCCCCACACATTCTCAGAAGGGATTTATGGATATGTTGAGGGTAGGGGCCCAGGTTTGCACTGGAAAGCCTCACAACCATTGGTGGTATTCCCTCCCAGGCTGCACACAGGCTGGTCCGTGCATACCTACCAGACAGAGAAACAGAGGAGGAGCCAGTGCCTCAGCTCAGCAGAGGTAGAGGCCATTCTGCAAGTCATCCAGAGGGCTGAGCGGCTTGACATCATGGAACAGCAGAGAATCGGGTAAGGGCTTGGACCGGCTGGGCACCAGCCAGCAGTGGAAGGAAGGCAGTGGGGCACTGCAAGAGATCCTAGGGGTGAAGAGGCTAGTGCACTGGGTCCAACAATGGGGTCACCAGTGGGTATGAGTCAGAGGGCCCCAGTTTCTTTGCTGGGGACCCCTGGACTATAGGCAAATACCCAAGCAGCCCTTCCAAGTTCTGTGTAAGCAGGGTTAGTGACTGACATGAGCCCCAGGTCACAGAGTCCTAGCCAACCACACTGAGGCTCTTGTCGCTGCACCCCTGTCCATAGCAGGATTCCGAAACACGAAACGCCCACCAGGTCCCCGCAGGAGGTATCCTCCAGCATGTCCTAAGCGCTGCCAGCCTGTGACATTCAGAGCTGACCATGACTCAGTTGTTCGATGGTCTTTGTGGTGCAGGGTTGTTTTTGTTGTCATTGAATTATAAAAGCAATAAACATTTCCTAGAAAAAAAAATCTGAGAAATAACAGAAAAGCACAAGTAGTAACACACAATTGGGACCAGACCACGTGGCATGGAGCAGGAATTCATTCTGTTCTGCTCTCCCTGTTCTTTTTCTACTTATCTTTTTTCTGTTTGTGAGATGATCGTGTTTGTAAATCAGGAACTGTAAAAGCGCAGTTTTGGATGGATTGGTGGCTGTTGGTTCACCGTGTCTGGTAGGTACCTCAATAACAGCTCAAGCAGGGCTCACTCACCTCACACTCCTGAGATTTTTCTTTTCTTTTTCTTTCTTTTTTTTCATTTAACTGGCTGAGGCCCAGCTTTCTACAGATCTACTCCCTGAGGGCCCTGCCAAACTCTCACCTCAAATACTAGTGATTGATCCTGGGGCTCCAACTCCACCAGGAACTTCATGGAAGGCTCCCCTGTGCTATGGAACCATTCATGGGCCCCTTCATCCATCCAGTTGTCTAGCTTTGATGTGTGTATAGGGACATGGAATGATCCAGAAGCAGTATTGTAGGTTATCTATCATTCAGAGGAAGGAATTGCATCTTGTGTGTTTATATGAGATGTGGAGGTATGGAGTAGGTTCCCCCAAGAACAAATAGTTTATGCCTGGTAGGAGCTGGGGTTGCTCCCAGGCCCTGTTGTTTCCTAGGTGAAGGACTATGTCCCTTATGGAGGACACATGGGTAGAGGCAGTGTCATGGCTGAGTCTGCTGTCTAGTGTCAGCTCCAGTGGCTATACTGCACGGCCTGAGGAGGATATGAGCTAGACAGGCCTGGGATGGACCCTGAGTCCACCTCTTGGGAATTTTGTAACCCCAGCAAGTGGCTTCACATTGTTGAGTCTCAGTCTTCAAATCTTTCAAATGCATCTTCCTCACTAGGAGTCTGACAGAGGAGATGAGATGATATGCCTGCATGTTGTTCGTTGTTCTTCATTCTTTCAAGAATCTTGTCCTCTGTCTCCTGCAAACATAGTGACTCACAAATTAGAACAGTTCTGAGGAGGCTGTAGTGTTTTTCCGCTAGAGGCTGTCACAGAGTGGAGGTTACAGTATGATGAAGGCCTGTAGAGCCCCAAGAAAGGGGTCAATCAGGTTTAACAGGGTACAGGGAAGCCTCCTGATGGCCAGAACCGAACCGTTTCAGACAGGAGCTGGGTTCTTTCCCTTCACTTTCCTGCTTCAGCTTCTCACTTTCCCAGATGCTGTGACCCAAAGCCTCCTGTCACCCTGCGCCCCCTCCCCCCAGCCACCCATGCTGCCTCTGAGATGCAGCCTGGGTCTGTCCTTTCCAGGGTGGCCTTAGCCTCTTACTGACTTCTTCCCTCTTGCTCTCCTAATTCCAGCTTTTCACAGCTTTGGAGAATGTCACTGAGGTCAAATCTCTTCCCTTCTTCAAAACCTCTAGTGGCTTCTGATTGAGTTTAGAAAAACACAACCCCATTTTGTGACCTGTAAACTCATGTGACCCTCTCTTGCTTCCCCCTCCTTCATTGTCCCCATCTTCCTCTTGCTGCTATGGGGGAGAGGGGTGGGAATAGCCTCCCTGGCCTCCTTGCTGATAACTGTTTCCCAGCCCAAGCCACAGTGCTTGCTGTCCCAGCTGCCTGGAAGGAAGCTTTCCTGGCTGTTCTGTCACATGATTGGTCTTTGCTGTCCTTCATCTCTCAGTGCATGTGTTCAGTTCAGAGTTTTCCCTGGCCCTATCTGACATACCTGTGGCTCCTCACCTGTCCCTACCCACTCTCCTACCATATACATGGCATGGGATTCTCCCTGTCTGAAAGTGATTTCTTCTTCAGGATTTCTTCACTGCTAGAACGTGAGTTCCTTGGTCTTGTCACATTGTAAATGCTCCATCAATAGTTGGCAAAGGAATGCATGATTAGGAGTTAGCTGGGGAAAGGATGGGGCAGGGAACAGACCAGTTAAGGAGACAGCCTGTGACATGGTGTAGTATTGAGTTCTGTTGCAGCTGGCCTGAGCAGTCATTGCATTGGTGACAGGAAGCACTGACTCTACGTCCTACGTTGCAGGCGGCTGGTGGAGCGGCTGGAGACCATGAGGCAAAATGTGATGGGGAACGGCCTCTCCCAATGTCTGCTGTGTGGGGAGGTGCTGGGCTTCCTGGGGAGCTCCTCAGTATTTTGCAAAGACTGCAGGAAGGTAAGGCCCTGTTCTGACTCTGCCATTCTAGCTGCCCAGCCTGGGCCAGCCATACATCCCAGCTTTCAGAGGAGAAAGAAAGAGGAGTAGAAACTCTGTGTGTGTGTGTGTGTGTGTGTGTGTGTGTGTGTGCGCGCGTGCGCACGCATGTGTGTGTGTGCATATGTGCATGTTCATGCTTCTCTTTTCAAGGACAGGGCCTAAAGGCCTGTAGTCTAGACTCTGTGGCTAGCTCTGGAGAATGGACCTCTGAATCAGAGCTTGGATGTGAATCCAGCCTTTATACCACCCATTTGACCTCAGAAAATGTCTATTTCAAGCTTCATCTTCCTGCTGCAAAATAGGGGGAATGAGAATATGTACCTAAGAGAGCTGTAAGGATTAGATAATATTAAATGCAAAGCTTTCAAAACCCTGCTCGGCATACAGACACTGAATAAATGTTATTACTTGTTATTAGATAAGTACTGTTTTCCTCAGGGCCAACTAGTGTGGTAAAATTGAAGTTCCTATTCTGTTGTCTGTTCTTTTGATCACTCAAAGAAGAATGATATTTGCTGAAAAATCAAATAGATTTTCTCCTTTTCTTATATTAAATTGTGCCATATATTAAATTGTTTCATATTGAGTCCAAGACTTTTTAAAATATAACTTTTAGGTTTTTTTCCCTGGGGTTTCTAATTGCCTTTCTTTTTTATTACTCAGAGAATAATAGACCTTTCAATCTTCAAGATTATTTAGCATCTCAATTTTACTCTTTATAACATAGAGCCTACTTTATTTTTTCCCCCCTGGCAGAAATCCTAGATTTTTATTCCTGCTCCAGCCTAAACTAGTTGCTGCACAGTAATATTCATGAGATTTCTCTTTTCTACCTTCTTAGATTAGAGACATTATTCTCGTTACCTTTTTCTGTTTTCACTGTAGTTTTGCTAGAATGCATCCTCAAGTAACTTCCATGTGCCATTGACTGTTGTAAGCCTGAAGTTGTTACAGTGAACCAGACAGAGGGAAAAGGAAAGTTCTCTCTTGCTATGCCCTTGGGTGAGGACATGTTTTTAAAAAGTAATAATCAAATGAGTTCATGAAGTAATAGAAGCCGAGGAAGAGTTGAGATGACTATAACAGTTGGAAAATATCAGAGAAATAAACATGGACTTGGAATAAAGTAATTGGTGCCTTTGTCATTCAAAACCTGGATTCCCAATTAATAAATGTGAAAGCCAGGATTTTGGACATGGTCATCCCTGCCCAACTCTGTCATGTGTGGTGAATCAGTCCTGGAAATGTGGATCAGTTGGTCTAAGCATGGTGGAGGTGTGATGGGGGCTTGAGTGTCAGGGTGTGCCAGCTCCTCTGTAGGCTATGGACCATCTAAGGAGTGGGTGCAGCGACCTGGGAATGCCTTGCTCCCAGGACTTAGGCAGGTAGGGCCATGATTTGTGACTTCTACCCTGGGAGAACAATTTCCTACCTATTTCTTCCTTTTGTCTCAGTACTATAACAGCTCTAAATATTTCAGGGTTTTAGTGAGGAAAGGCACTACCATATCTTCTTCCCTTGGGAACATCCATGGCCTCTAACACAGAGGCAGGCTGCTGTTCCTGGCTGGCAAGGAGTTAACACCAGTGGCTCCCCGGAGAACCATTTCCTAGGCAACAGTGGCCATCCCAGGGGAGGGCCTCAGCTGGATGTGGGGTGTGGGGAAAATGTTCTTCCAGACTCACCACCCCCACCGCCTGGTGCCCTGGAGCACTGGGCTGGTCCGAAGGACATTTCTATTTGAAGAGGTTCTTATTTTGCCAGCTGGCTGAGGACTAGGTGCTAGCCTGGGAAGGCAGCTTGGGGCAGTGGAGGAGCCCTTTGACCTTTAGAGGGGACTTGCTCCTGGGCAGAGGTGGGAGTAGGGGACAGTCGGGTACCCCCAGCAACATGGGAGGCTTGCAGGGTTCTCTTCATCTGTCCTTGAGAAAAATGTGTCATTCATTCATATTCATTCTTTCTTCACATAGTAAAGGGAGGGCCCACTGTGTGCAAGCTGGTTCCAGATGCTAGCCCAATTCCTATCTGTCATGGAAAGTATCCAGGGTAAGAGAAGAGAAATGATAAACAAGTAAATGAGTAAATACAAGGTCATGTCAGGTGCACCAAGGGCTCTCGATTGAATTAAAACACATGCATTGGCATGTGTCAGGTGCTTGGAAAGAGCTTCTTTGAGCTCAGACCAGAACACAAGCAGGAACTGGTCCCAGGAAGATCTGTGAGGATAAGTATTACAAGCAGAGGGAACAGCATGTACAGAGGCCCTGCAGCAGAACCGGCTGGGCTCTTTTAAGAACTAATGGAGTTAGGGACAGAGGGAGAGAGAAGTAACCTTGGCAGATCCCACATTGCTTTCTAAGTAGGGGTTAGGAGCTGGGATTTTATTGTAAGTTTAATAAGAAGCCAGCACCATGTTTGTGCTAGGGGTTTGATGTGATCTGCTCTGTGTTTATTTGTTTGCTTGATGTTGGTACTGGGACTGGAGCTCCAAGCCTTATGCTCTCACTTGGCTTTTTCACCCAAGGTTGGCTTTCTACCACTCAAGCCATACCTCCAGTTTCCATTTTTTTGCTGGTTAATTGGAGATAGAGAGCATCGCAGACTTTTCTGCCTGGGCTGGCTTCAAACTCCATCCTCAGCCTCCTGAATAGCTAGGATGACATGCATGCCACCAGTTTGCTCTGTGTGTGTGTGTGTGTGTGTGTGTGTGTGTGTGTGTGTTTTGTTGTTGTTGTTGTTTTGTCGGTCATGGGGCTTGAACTCTGGGCTTGGGTTCTGTTCCTGCACTCTTCAACTCAAGGCGAGCGCTCTACCACTTGAGCCACGGCACCACTTCCAGTTTCCTAGTGGTTTATTGGAGGTAAGAGTCTCACAGATTTTCTTGGGCTGGCTTTGAACCGTGATCCTCAGATCTCAGCCTCCTGAGTAGCTAGGATTATAGGTGTGAGCCACCAGCGCCCAGCTTGCTCTGTGTTTTTAAGAGTGGCCCTGACTGCTGTATGTCTAGTGGACTGCAGGAGAGCACAAAGTGAAAGGCAGGAGACAAGTTTTGTGGTAATGACAGTCACTGAGAGATGATGATAGGCTTGGGACAATGCATTACTGGGACAGAAACACTGTGCTAAGACAACATCAATGTCTCCAGTGTATTCTAATCAGATAGGGAAGAAGTAGAGGGGCTGAATGAAGTGCTCAGGGAAGAAGGAGAATATTGGACTGTTAGAGGCTAGGGTAAGAGGCAACTTGGTCTACCTTATACTTCCAGGTGGCCAGGAAGTACTGTCCCCACACCAGTGCAGTTTGCTGCCAGGGGCTCCTGCTTAGGCCTGAGGAGCTTACCCTGTCCTTCCTGTTCATATATCTCCATGAGGCTGCAAGGGCCTGGAAGGGCTGCTTTCTTCCCCCTAACAGCAGGATCACGAGAGATTTATACCTAGAGCTGCAGAACCAGACTGACCCAGATTGAGAGATCCATCTTGGCCACCACAGAGTGACCTTGAACAAGTCAATTAGCTTCTCTGGGCCTCCCTCACTTCATCTGTAAACCAAGCTCCTTTCAGCCCCAGGTGGGTGTGAGAAGAGATTCCCTTGCTCAGGGAAGTTCTTTGCTGTGTCTGATCTGTTGTAAGCACTCCAAATAGGGATCCTGTCATTGTTGTCATCTTTGATATGGTGACTATTCACCATGGATCCAGCAACAGGATTAGTCAACTCCTGCTGCTGTAACAAAACACTATGGATGACATCACCTCAAACAACAGTTGTTTATTTCCCTATGGTTTTGGAGATTGCTGAAACTCAGTGTTTTCCCAAGACTTCCTGGACTGCAGCTCTGGTGTCTCTTATTATTATAAATACACTAATCCTATTAGATTAGGGCCCCACCCCTATGGCTTCACTTAATTTTAATACTCCCTAAGGACCCTCTCTCCAACTACACATTGGAGATTGGGGCTTCAACATCAGAATTTTGAAAGGCACAATTCAGTTTATTGTACCCCATTTCGCCTTACTAAGATTCATGTTTTCCTGAACTTAAAATTGGAGCTGCCACAGTTAATCCCTTAATTCTAAAATTTAGGTAAAAGCCTCTGGACACTTTTTAGCTATCCAGGATTGGGTGTCCTGAGCTGGTAGGGAAAGACCTCAGTTTCATGCACTAGCTCCTATACACACAACACTCAGTCACTAATTTAGCTTGTGTGTGACTCAGGTGAGGGAAAGCGAGGAGGGGAGAATCCAAAGTAGTTATTTCTCTCAGTCTTGATGGTTAAGGTGGGTGGAGGAGGACTGAACAAGAGGAGAGTTGTTGGGAGGAGCCTGTCTTAAAGGAGCAAAGGGCATGGTGGAGGTTTGCATGGATTTAGTTAGGGGCAGTGGAGGAGATTGGAGAGATACCATAGCCAAGGCTGGTAGCTGGAAGTCAGAGAATTGAGCACTGAAAGAGGGAGGACACAGATATGACAGCAGATTTGGCTTTGGAACAGGGGGCCGTGGAACAGGGGGCCTTGGAAGAGGGATAGAACATGCTCTAGCAGCTCCAGGGGTGAGATTCTGAGGACCAGAAGACATGGGGCAGAGCTGGGAGATTTGGGAAGCTAAAGTACATTGGGCTTGTCAGAAGTCACATGGGGACACACTATTTGAGCAGAGAACGTGTAGTCTGTGGATTCCTGAGCCCCCAGGAGATGATCACAAAGGTACAGACACCAGGCAGTGATCACATGGAGAAATAGCTAGACATACACACAACCCCCTGCAGATCCTTAGCCCTCACAGTGGCTCCACAATGGTTGAGGAAAAAGGATGACAGCACCCTTTCACCCATCCAACCAATACTTCTTTTTCTATGTGCCAGTCCTGGATCTTGAACTCAGGGTTTGAGCCTCATCCCTAAGGTTTTTTTTTTTGCTCAAAGCTAGGCACTACTTGAGCCATAGTCCCACTTCCAGCTTTCT